CTTTTCTTTTTCACACTTCATCCCCAATGAAATGTATCCAACTCATGGCTTCAGTCCATAGTGGTATTTTAACCCTAAAGCGCTGACCCAGACCCAGGCTTACAGTTCAATATGCACATGGATTACAGTTACATCCAATTTGAATGTTTTCAAACTGTTTAACAATTGAATTCTTCTTCCCAGATAAGCCTCTCTTGACTCTCAAATCTGGCTTTCCAGGAACCCTGATGGATTAACTCAATCTTCCTCACCTGGCCACTTTGCTCACATACAGTGTATGGCTCCTTTGGTGCACTAACACTGAAGTTCAGTAGTTTTGACAGAGACTGTAGGATCCATAAAGTCAAAATATTTAGTAGATAGCTTTGTACACACCAAAAAAAAATAAAATAAAAAAAAAATAAAAAAAAAAATAAAGTTTCTAAGCCCCCTATAGAAGATAGCTCTATCCTAACACTTAATGGGTTGTTTTTAAGCTATTTGCATATATTCACACACACACACACACACACACACACACACACACACACACACCATTAGACTCTAGGCTTCATTATACTAGTAGAGTAAAGGCATCAGAATCCCCTAAAGCTTTTACCTTGTAGCTCCCTGGACACTACTGATCTCCTTGGCCTTAGCCACTTGTCTTATTCCTTGTTAGTTTTTTAAATCTCTATTTCTAACACAGAACCTAGTTCACAGTATTCACTCAATATATATTGGTGAACTATTTTGAACTCCCTCTAGGAAATTTGAGTCGTTTTTTACTCTTCTTGCTTTATCCCCTAGAATAGATCAACTCTGCACACCCCAACCCCAAGGAAAAAAACACAATGTTTGGTTGCACTGGATTGTTTGCAATAATTCCCTCTTTCTCTTTCCGTGCCCTTAGTTAGTCTCCTCCAATACTGACTCTGGGCTTGCTTTGGTCAGTGGGATAATAGCAAATATAATGCAAGTAGACACACGAACAGTATTTTGTCGCTGAGCCTTGCCCCTTCTTGCTGCACATGTAACCCTGATACCACCAGATGAATGAGCCAGGCTGGCCTGCTGGATGATGAAAGACACATGGCCCTGATAACCCCTTACTCCAGAACATAAGTGAAGCCATCAAATACTAGCTGACCACAGATACATGAGAAAAATTCTACTGTATAAATGAGCCCAGCCAAGACCAGCAAAAGAACCACCCAGATGAACCTAGCCAAAATCTCTGACCCACAAAATCATGAGCTAATAAACCATCTTCTTTAAGCCAATATGTGTGTGCTGTTGTTTTTCCAGGGAGAGAGTAGCTGTATGCAGCATAAACTAGTTGTTATATTGGTCTTCTTCACTTTAAATGTTTCTGAGATTTATGCCTTAAATTTTACCCCCAAAGTGTGGAAAGAGTATCTGTCCCCACTTTGTTCTCTACCCTCATGCTATATACTAAGATAACATACCAATCTGTTATCTTAGTATATATTAGTATATATTCTTTTCTTAGTTTCTATTCAAATATGTAAAACACTTCTGCTAAAATTTCCTAAAATTTTTCTTTTAACCATATCCTGATCAATGATAGATAAGGACACCTTATTTCTTAAATATGAAATCTACTTGATATCTTAAATATCTATTTTTATATTCAACATATCCATTTTTAGCCTAAAACCATTATAGATAAGCTCTATGAGAAATGAACTGTAGAATCGTAGGTAATATAATCTTACAACTTTCCCTGACAGATGAAATCGTCTATCCTGTGCCTATCCCACCACTGTATTTGGAAGCAGGGATTTCACCAGTTCACAGCTGGAGAGGATATTTGCCTCTGGACAAATCCTACCTCAAATTTCACCCATATTTGATTTAGATGATATTTAAGTGAGACTTTGGCCTTCAGACTTTAGAGATGATGCTAAAATGAATTTAAAGACTTTTGGGGCTATTCATAAGGCATGAATGAATTTTACATGTGAGAAAGACATGAATTTAGAAAAGCTAGGGGTGGAATGTTATAAACTAAATGTCTGTGTTCCCTCAGATTCAAGTGTTGAAGTCTTGTGATTTTGTTATATATATATATATATATATATATATATATATATATATATATATAGTCATTCAGATGACCAAAATAATAAATCTCACATATGTTTGACCTTTATCACTCTCTCTTGCCCTCTGTCACTCTTCCCCTGTGCTTTATGGGGAAACAGCAAGAAGGCAGCCATATGAAGCCAGAAGAGAGCTCTCCCTAGCACCTGAGCATGCTGGTGCCCTAATCTGGGACTTCCAGCTTCCAGAACTGTGAGAAGATAAATTTATATCTAAACCATCCAGTCTGTGGCATTTTATTATATCAGCCTGTTCTAAGACAACTTGTCGATATTCATAAGGCAAGAATCACTTGCATCTTTACCAATCAAAATTAACCTTTAAGTCTATAGACAAGAGTGACTTGGCATTGCTATCAGTTTTCTACAACTTACAGAGTTGCAAAATAGCCCAAAGATGATGAAATAACATAGAAAATTGCACCAGACAGGATACCTAGCAATCCTTCCTGGCAATTCCAAGCTCTCTCATAGGTTTCCCTGAAATATCTAAACAACCAACAATAAACTAATTGCCCTGAAGTTACTCCAGAGGAGACCTTCTGTCACCTCTTTTGATTAAATCTTTTTTATTCAAGCATAGGCAACGTTTGTTTGTCTTTATTACAAGTGCAATCCACAGTTCCTAAGTTCATACCAGCCAAAAAGAACACTTCCAAGTCAGAGCCACAAAGATGTCATCTTAGCACCCAACTTGGTCCTCACTAGCAAACTCTGGATCCTTTACGCCTTTCCTATTTTGTTAAGGGATCCAGGCTGCAGTGTTGTATAAGCTCTGCTATTAATGGTTGTTCTCATCATGGCTAATTCAAGGCACCAGATCCCCTTGAGCTTTTACCTTGTAGCTCCCTGGGCACCACTAATATTCTTGGCCTTAGCCACTACTATGTGACACCTTCCTGAGGTCACCCATAATGTCATGTGAAGCTGCTTATTCTACTCTCCCAATCACTCATTGAAAAACAAAAAAGGAACAAATGAAAGTGAAAAGAGCTATCATTTATTGAGCTTCTATTATGTGCCAAGCCTTTAGGTACTACTTATTCTTTAAAGTGATGATATTTTTGTTTCTGCTTGGGCAGTTAAAGTAAATCCACCTTTCCTAAAAGAATGTGCCTCAAATAAAAATTTTCACATTTTTTAAATTTCTTAGTATCTCATACCTCATCCAGATCTAAGTTTTCCCAATTGTCCAAAAATGTCCTTTGCAGCTGGCCTACAGTACAAACCAGGATCCAATCCAGGACAGTGCAACTAGTGGTCATGCTCCTTTAAGTCTTAATCTAGAAAAATATCCCTCTTCATTAACTTCTTGTTGAAGAGGAAGGACTAGTTCTCCTATAAAATGTCATTCTTTCTGGATCTGTCTTTTGCTTCTTCATGGTATTTATTTAACTTGTGTATCTATCTCCTATCTTCCCTTAAAACGAGGATAGCTATAGATTTTATTCACATTCAATATTTTTATCAGCTGGCCAGGTCATGTGCTCCAAGGGACACCATTTTCATTTTTTAATGCAAATTAAGGCACTTATAAAAGCTACTGGTTATCCTGGCTGACTGACTGACTCCTCATCATGGGGATGCTGTAATAGAACAGATTAATAATAATGAGTCCAATTGGTAGATATTAAGGCCCCTTTCAATGGTGACACTCTGTGGATCTCTTTGATGGTTGTATAAAATGCCCCCCAAATTATTTGACACTGTGCACTGACAGTGCCATCAATAACCTCTCACCTGACATCTGGGATCTGTGACTGTTTGTCTATAGAATTCTGCAGACGTGACCCTGCAGAATTCTATAGCCATTTCCAGGCCCAGACCTTAAGAAACTAGGAGCTCCCACTTCCTTCTCCTGGAACACTCCTTCCTGGATCCTAGCCACCATGCTCTAATGAAGCCTAAACCACTATGTAGAGAGACGCCCATCACCAAGTAAGTGAACTCTCTTGGAAGTCAAGCCTTCAGCCCCAACAAAGATGAGCTGTCCTAGCCAAGACCCACCCAAATTGCAGACTGCTGAGTAAAGTGGCCACTTCCGGTTTAGGGTGATCTCCTTTAGCTGCAATAGATAACTACAACAGTCTATAACATAATGTGAGTATCCAGGCCTCCACATACACATTCCCACAATATGCCTCACACAAACAGTGAACGAAAGAACTCTGAGGCAGGGCCTTCTCTAAGGAGCCCTCAATTTTTTTCTCCCCTGTCACAGGCAATGGCCTTTGTCTCTCATCTCCTCTCCCACTGCCTAATTTAGGATAAACGCACTGTCATATAAAGATGCTGAGAGCCATCTTCTGCAGCATCTGCACCCTCGCTGTTTGGTTTCCAGAGGAATCATAGGTTTCTCTGAGCCACACACTGGACCCCTCCATAGACTTCCCTCGGCTCCTGCTTTGTTCTGGGCTAGTATAGCCTTTGGGTGCTGGCTTCAAGGGACAAGACAGAAGCAAAAGGTACTTGATCCAGTAAAGTGCATTCCACATGGGATTCTTCAACCTGCTCTGAGTTTAAGAGGGATCATATAAGCCAAGCAAAAGGCCAGGAACGCAAAGGAGCAGCGGAGCTTGGACACAAGCTGCCTCTGTCTGCAGTGGCTCCATCACATAAAATCTGCCTGCATTTCCCAGGAAGGGAATGGGTTTCTCTGAATCCCTTCTTGGGTTCTCCAGCTCCTCTGATGAACTATCCTCCCTCCTGGATTCCCTCTCTCTTCTCTTCTCTCTCTCTCTCTCTCTCTCTCTCTCTCTCTCTCTCTCTCTCTCTCTCTCACACACACACACACACACACACACACACACACACACACATACACACATTCCCCTTCCTTCATTTCAGGAAAGAGTTAAAACAAGAATCCTACCCTGCAGGGCCTGGGAGGGGGCGGCTCTGTGCTTTATAGCGGCTGCCTATAAGGAGGGCTGAAAGCTTAGGACACGTACTTTCTGTCCTAAAGTAGAGCAGAAAGTCGGAAAGATTTTGGAGGAGAAGGCAGGGACAGACAGAAGGGGGGCGTGTGTTCCTCTGGAGTTTCCTTTTTCTTGCTAGTCCTTGCGCGCGCAGTCATCCCTGCGGTCTGGGGATTGCGGACAGAGGTGGCGAGGCTCCATCCCAGCCGGTGGCCAGAGGCTGGGGGCAGGGGAGACCTCAGCACAGAAGCGGTGCCCAGGAAGTTTTCCGACGCAGAGGCAGCAGCGCAGCCTGATTGCTGCCGCCACGCGGGAGCCCAGGACCCACGCCACCCAACCTCTCCGGCTCTACTTCCTCTCGCCCAGCTGCCCGGGCGCCCAGGTGCCACGCGCGGACCGGACAGCTGTCTGCCCCGCCTGGCTCCACGGTCGGTGCAACTCTTTCCTCTCGGGGACCGGCCAGGGGTGGGGGAAGATGCCGCCTGAGCCCCTCGGTTGGGAGGAGAGGGATCAGGCATCAATGTCGCCCGGCGCCCTGCACCTTGGGCACCCTCCGCACATGGTCTAGGGGTGCGCGGTGGGCGCCGGCGCCTTTTTAGGAGGGGCTCTCTGCGGGCGCGTCTTGGGTTTGAGGAACTGATTGAAAGCCCGCTGCCTACCCAGTTGGGATTCGGATGTTTAGTGAAAGGAAAATATACAGCTCTCCCTGGGTCTCCCTTTCCCCAGGCACGCAAGAACTTTATGGAATATCACGCCCCTGTCGCAAGCTTTAAAGCCTACTTGGGAAAGGTGTCCCGCAGCCTTTTCTAACTCGCCTGCGTCTCCTCCCTGCACACCCGGGGTTGTCAAGGGTAGCCAAGGGCACTGGGTGTGCGGGACAGATGTTTTGGAAAACCCCCAGGAGGCTGGTTTGGAAACCTGCCTGTGGATATCTGGGCGTTGGGTTCTATGCTGTCCTTTAAAGGGCACTTGTTGCCTTTCACGTGCAGAAAACTGGGGCTGTTTCTAGATAATCAGCTCTGTTTACACCATCCTAATGGCGTTCCGGCTAGAGCTGGCGGCGGAGAGGGCTGGGTGGGAGGCAAATTAAAGGCAGACATTGTCAGTAAGGACAGTTGCTGAGATCTAACCCAGCCAGCAAAACCCACAGAAAACTTGTAAAATGTACCTAGTTTTTTGTTTCTTCTTGTAGTTACGCATGGCTTCTCCCTCTCCTCCCTCCCCCTCCCCAATCACTTCTGTTTTAAGTGTTAACTAATTGGGAAACATCTTGACAATCATTTCATGTAACTACCTGCTCTGAACTCAGACCATTTAGGGAAGGTTGGAATCTCCAAATTACTAATTACAGTCCAGGTCTACTTTGATCCTGAGAATCAGATGTTAAATGGATCCAGTGTAAGCATAAGGATCCAGTCCTCTTCCTTAACAATAACTTTTGAACTTCAGCGAATTCTCAGACCCCCAGACAGAAGAACGCTGAATATATAAACCACGTCCCTGAGGTCTGAACTGCAGATGCTTCACTAGAGCTATGATTGGGTATGACTGACTATTCCAAGCACAGCATGACTTAGATCCATGGAAGTGAGCTACAGACTCATCCTTGGAGGAACATGCATTTGAAGGAGTTTCTTTTGTGTGGTTTTTGTATTTTTCATGCAATATGTGGTATTCACATGCCTTTGCCAAGTATCCGGTAGCTCTGCAACTTAACATGTCGAGAGCTGACGGAGACACCATCACAAATGATTTCTGTGGGGGTGTCATTGTTGCAGGGGGAAGGGAAGTGGTTTTAATAGTAGCTAGCTCACACTTTGATAAGAACCCACAGCCTTGGCCTCCTTAGCTCCTGCTATAATCAGCTGACCAAGCAGGCCAGCAAGCTAGTGTTCAAACACTAGTGGCATCTTTTGTGGGTGGCAGAATGCGATAGCCAGGTCAGTTTACTAACTATCCTCTAACAGACCCTAATGGGCAGGGAGTCATTCCATTACTGAGAAAAGCCTTCTCTCTCTTGGTTTTAATAAAACTATTACTGAAGGTTCCATTCTGATTGGGAAGCTGGGAGCAGCACAAGATATTGAAGGATTTTTTTTCCCCCCTCCCTTCTCTGATCTGAAGAGGATGACAGTATGCTTTGTTCTCAGAGTCCTGGTCTCCAATGCTGAATGGAAACAGGGTCTGTCAATATTCTATTAGACACTCACTCAACCATGTAAGAAGCAAGAAAAACTACTTGCTTTCCTGGAGAAGGTTAACATGTGCAGTATTTGTACCTTAAATTTACATTAGACCTTCTATTCAACATGAATAAATCTCGTTTCCTCCGTATATTGACTAAGCTTTATTGATAACTGTCAAAGTAACTCAAAATCTTTAAAAGTGATTTATTACAACCACAAATAAACTCAGAAAAAGGACACAATTTTTAAAAACTAAGTTTTATGTCATAGATACACCCACCATTGCATAAATGAACTTAGGGCCGTGGTCGGCAAACTGTGGTTCTCGAGCCACATGTGGCTCTTTGGCCCCTTGAGTGTGGCTCTTCCACAAAATACCACGGCCTGGGCTAGTCTATTTTGAAGAAGTGACATTAGAAGAAGTTTAAGTTTAAAAAATTTGACTCTCAAAAGAAATTTCAATCGTTGTACTGTTGATATTTGGCTCTGTTGACTAATGAATTTGCTGACCACTTCAAGTCTTAGGGCATTCATTTAAAAAGATTGATAAAAACTCACAAGAAGGATAATACAAAACAATTTAAATGTGAGGAGACACTTTTATTTGCCTTTGCTTATTGTGTTACCACCAACCCCCTCATTTTCCCATCTTTTCTTTAAGGATTGTAGTAGAAAACCATAGACTTCCCGGGCAAGAAAGATCACTTGCTCTACAAAAGTGACTAAAACAAGCAAGCAAACAAATGGTCTTTTGAAAACATCTCACAAACCTCTAAGTCTACTGCTTCACTGAAACTGTGGAGAATTCAAACATTTCAGGTGCTAAGAAGGCATGAGAATGAGAGGCATTGCAGGCTAGAGGTTAAGAGCTCAAAGTTAGATTAACTTGCGTTAGAATCACAGCATTGTCGTCCACCACCTGTGCTTTTGACAAGCATCTTGATGTTCCTGAGCCTCTGGTTCCCTACTTTTAGAATGGAAGGTATATCTGCTTCACGGGGTCAGGGAGGGTATAGATCAGATGGCATCATGCCTATGGAGTGCCCAGCACCATGACTAGGCATGAGACAGAAATCCCTCAGAAAACCAATGGTGTGTCTGCCTAGAAAAGTCCATTACTCCCAGTGTCTCTTGTTGGCAAATAACATGCCAATAATTTCTGAGGAATGGAAAAGCCAAAACTCCTGTTAGAAGATGTAGATTGTACACATTAATCATCAGGAATTTCAATAAAAATATTTTGTCTTTATCAGTTATACCATATTTATTTAAAACTAAAATTGTAGTGATGGTGTTAACCAGAGTTCTAATTTTAAATTAACATTGCATAATGCTTTAAATGGCTACCTATGCTGCATTTTATTACCACATGCATACCAGCACACATATTGGAATATTGGATTCTTAATTATAGAATTGGTAATTTTATGCCTTAGCACTATGTAACTTTTACTCAGCATTTAATGCCTTTTCTTTTCCACTAGTAAAATGTATCTCACCTCTCCAAGATTTTTGTAATTCAGGTTCTTAGCAGAGGTTCAGTGAATGGAAAACATCAACTTTTAAGCTACTTCTTAAAGAAAAAACTGACCTTTCCTCATGCGTATTATAATCTAGATATAAGTATAGCTGCAGAGAGAGAGACAGAGAGAGAGAGCAAGAGAGAGAGAGAGAGAGAAGTTGCCCTAATAGAGCTTTTGCTCTTTTCTGATTTTGTTCTGCTTTGGGGTAAGCTGACATAGATATATCTTATCTAATTACCAAACATATCCTGCTTTTTAACTGGAGCAGTAAATAATCATTTGCTGCAGTCTTACTGGCAGCTGGATTTTGTAACCAAAATTATTTTTCTTTTTTTTCTAGGTGAAGAAAAAAAAAAAAAAGTGAGGGTGTAAAAGCAACAGAATAAGAGACGTTTCCTCCAATTTGCATCAAGATGGAAACCTTTTGCTTCAGGGTGTCCTTTTGGGTGGCGCTAGTTGGATGTGTAATTAGTGATAATCCTGAGAGCTACAGCACCAATCTAAGCACTCGTATAGACGATTTTACCACTTTTCGTGGGACAGAGCTCGGCTTCCTGGTTACCACTCATCGACCCACTAATTTGGCCCTACCCAGCAATGGCTCAATGAACAACTATTGTCCACAGCCGACAAAGATTACTTCAGCTTTCAAATACATTAACACTGTGATATCTTGTACTATTTTTATCGTGGGAATGGTGGGGAACGCAACTCTCCTCAGAATCATTTACCAGAACAAGTGTATGAGGAATGGACCCAACGCACTGATAGCCAGCCTTGCCCTCGGAGACCTTATCTATGTGATCATTGATCTCCCTATCAATGTATTTAAGGTAGGAAGTAACCACAAATGTATCTGCAAGTTTGAACATATGCTCTGATTCTGCAGTAAGAGAGTTGCTGCAGACTTTTCTGACCTGGATTTCAGTCTGTTTTTCTGAGAGCAGTTTCTGCCAACTTACTAGTAGGATTTTAAATGTTTGTTATTTGTTAAATGTTACACTTAATTTTCTAACGTAATTGTTAACCAAATAGTATTTCAGAAGTGACTCCTCAAAGTGAAGGTCTTTAATGCAGCATTGGAATCTTATTGCTGAGTGGATAGGCAATTTTGGAGCGATCACTTAATTTTTCTGAGATTTAATTTTCAAGGTGAGACCTACTAAACCCAAAAAGTGCTCTATATAGATATATTCAGTTGCAGTTACCCTCTTAATGTAATGCTGTGCAGAAGCCCGATATCCACAGTATAGCTTAAAAAAAAAACACCTGTTTTATTTTGACTAGATTGATGGGTGGAGCCCAAGCACATGCTAATTTTCTTGATTATCTGGGTGACTTAGCGATAATAGGATTCACACAATAGCAGGCCTCCCGTGACCTCCGTGAGCAGTATTATTAAACTGTTTAAAATAGGCATCAGTTTACCATTGCCTCTTTCATTTCTTCAGTTTATATTTAAGGAGTGCCTACTGTGTGCCCGCTCCTGAGCTGGGCAATAGGCTCCAAAGACAAATTAGATAAAGTCAGTGGGAGAGGAGGATAACTCACCCACTGCTACCATGGTCACCTTGCTTTGAGGATAAACTAAAGTCAAAAGAAATTAGATATTCTATATTTGGTTTCTAAATGTAAGGAGGAAATTGCTACAAGAATTCAAATGAACTAAAAGTCAAATGAAATCACCATCTATGCCAAATATTCTGGAATGTCTTATTCTAAGCCCAGAAAAAAACACTTTCTTCAGCCTTTATTTTTTTCTTCTCTGTATTAGCCATAGAAATTAAATAATTCTGAGCAATCATATTCTGAAATAGGTCTTTAAATTGCAAGTTTTGTCAATTGAAGGCATAGCTTTTAAATAGACCAGTAGTATAAAAGGACCTTGCAAATGGCAATACAGAAGAAAACCTATTACTAAATTAATCAAAGAATCACTCTATCTAGTTTTTAATTGTTAAAAAAACATAGTATCTCTAATTTCAAGAAAGACTGAAAAGAACAGGAGGGAGGAAGGGAAATGAGTTAGCAAAACCTTTCCAATACCCACACTTATAACCTAAACTGATAATGGATTCAATTTGTCAAGAAATACCTCATTTGATACACTGAATTTTCAAGAAATGCAAAAATTTAATCATGTAAATTAATCTATATTTAAAATGTATGCATTCATTACAAAACAATTAAAATATTGTATCAGGTTTTAGGGATAAAAAATAACTCCCAATTATTAATGGCAATATATTATAGATAGAAGTATAGAACTTAATCCTTATATTCTTTAATGATTCATAAGATTTTGTATATGGAGTGTTGTCTATAGCAAGTTGGATTGTAATAATATATAATAAAAGGATAATATGCAAATTGACCCTAACAGCAGAACAACCAGAATGACCGGTCGCTATGATATGCACTGACCCCCAGGGGGCAGACGCTCAACACAGGAGCTGTCCCCTGGTGGTCAGTGTGCTCCCAAAGAGAAAGCTCTGCTCAGCCCCAAGCTGGGCTGATGGCTATGAGCTGCAAGAGCAGCAGCAGTGGCAGGAGCCTCTCCTGCTTCTGTGGCAGTGCTAAGGATGTCCAACTGTGGCTTAGGATATCTGACTGTGGGCTGCCAGAGGGATGTCTGACTGCCAGCTCAGGCCCAATCATCAGGGGAGCAGGCCTAAGCTGGCAGGTGGACATCCCCTGAAGGGTCCTGGACTATGAAAGGGCACAGGCTGGACTGAGGGACCCCCCCCCCCCCCCCCCCGCAACAAGTACACAAATTTTCATGCACTGGGCCTCTAGTTTTGAATAAAATAGAAACCCTAAAAGTGATGGTTGTGCATGGGTGAGCCAGGGCTTATTGTGCCAAGCACATCTATATGTGAATGCAGACACTCCCATAAACTCCCTTGGCCTATTACATAAAAACAGGAATGTGGGAAAATACAAGTGGAAAAGTAGAGTGAAGAAGATTAAAATGGTGGTCATGGGAAGAAGGAAGAAGTGTAGTCCAATGACTCGGCATAGGAATCTCTGACATGCATAGTGGGGAGTTGGAACCAGAGTTAATACGGTAGGTGATTACTGTCTTCATTGAAACAGAGTACAGCAGATCTGGGAAAACAGGTTAAAGAGCCAGTGAGAACATCCAGTAACAGACTGTTGATTACTAATTGGGTCTAATCTAAGCAACATCCTCTTGCTGAGGGCAACAATGGAAAACAAACAAATATAACTTCTGTATGAAATGATCAGGAATGTTCTGCAATGGAAAGTCAAGGTTCCCAATATGTCACTCTGGCAGAGGATCTGAGAAGTGTGGAAACCAGAGATGTTCACACCAAGCCAGTTATCTTCATATTCACACAGCCTTTGACATCTTGTACACTGAGATCCATCCTGTCAGGGCAGCCATACAAAAGCTGTTTCTCAACACATCAAATCATCAAGGCAATTTCTATCTTAAAAGCAAATTGCCACAACTTAATAGATTATATGCTTCAAACACAATAGCTACAATATTTGATATATGCTTAGAATTTTATTTGATTAGTAGGGGTGTCAAACTCAATCAGAGAAGGGGCCAAAATCTAAAATCCAGCCTAAATCGCGGGCCGAATGGTTTACTGAACAGTCATAAACTGTCATTGTGATGGAAACGCAGCGGAGTGCAGTGATGACAGCGCAGTGCGGGCCACATTGCAAGGCCTGGCGGGACGGATTTGGCCCGCGGGCCTTGTGTTTGACACATGTGGATTAGAGCCTTTGCTGTTAGAATCAACTTCTAATCAGATTCTTCTGAGACCTTCAAATTAAAATATGATAATGTTGATAATTTATCAGGGGAATTCTTCATTTACGGACAAGGCACAGGACATTAGCGGTGGTCTGCACATTGCTAGTCTCCCAAGTGGATCAAATTACCAATGAATTGCATACGTGATAAGGGTATACTTGTCTAACCCTTTTACTCCTCATCAAGCAAATAAAAACAAACCTTTCTCTTATACTCCAGTAATAGTAATAGTGCTGTAATCATAGAATTAGGTATAGAAACTCTATCCCTGAATTGTAAGACAGAAAATGTGTCCCTTTACCATGGTTTCTGCCCCTTGATGCAATGCCTCCCAGCTAGTGTTCCTTGTACGTAGCTCTGGCTCTGCCTCCTTCCAGTGCCTCTCTCTCCATGTTTTTCTTCTGCCTCTATCTACTCCTGCTAATCTGCTCCATATGAGAATACCATGAACCTTCTACCTAAAATATCTCTCCCTTATGCCCCCTCTGGCTTACTCCACTTTGTTCTTCAAATCTCAGCTTAAACATCTCTTTGTCTGGCAAGTATCCATGATCCAGCCTAGGTTAGTGCCCCTCTCCTGTGCTCCCAGGACACCCCTGTTAACCCTATAACAGTATGTAACACACACTCTATTGTATTTGCCAATTCACTTGCCTGTCTGACCCACTAGACCGTAAGTTCCTTGAGGCAAGCTGCCACCATTCTCATTTATCACTGTGTCTCCTGCATCTAACACTGAGCCCAGCTTTAAAAATATTTGATGAATGAGTGCAATAAGAAAATGTACTGTGATTGCCTCTATAAGAATGGTTTTCTCACATGCAATTCCAGATCTAAAGGCAGACCTACCTACTATTCGAATTTACTGAATTTCTACTTTTTTCCTCCAAACCAGGAATGTCTCAGGGTCCATAAATGCACCAGCAAAGCAGAGCAGCACATAGCAACAGGATCGCTTTCCCCCCTTCCCTTTGTCTTTGGAGGTCAAGAGTTCTTTTCCTATGGTTCAGGCATTGCGTCGTATAATAATTTCCTCTCTCTATGTGAAGATAACCAAGCCAAAGGTTCTTTCCAGGATTTCTGTGCAATATACATTCTTTGAGTTTAGTTGCAATTGTGGTTTGATTGAAATATTAAACCTACACGTGATGTAGAATATGAAAATGAATATTCACATCACAAAAGATTTTATTTGTTCTTTAGAGAATAGGAACGCAGTTGATTTCCTGCCATTGCTAAGACGTGCATTGCAAAACATTATGCTGACCAGGTGATTTAAGAATATATGTACATATCAAATGCCAGAGTGATAAATTTATTACCCAATTTGCTGTTAGAAGGAAGTTGCTGTCTGGAAAGGCTTTAGAACCCTCTCCAACTCTACCTCCCCTTCTGGCTTTTCGTTTCCTGTGTCTGGGAACCTCATTGCTTGCTCTCATGGTTATGTGAAGTAATTATTCTCATGTGAGGTTACTCTGCTAACCCTCAGCATTTGGCTCACAGCGCAGTTATACCATTTCTGGTGGGGGAGGGAAACGGTCCATAACTGCAAGCTTGTTTCCCATAGCTGAGGAGGGAGAGATGGTGTTAGTCCTGTTCTCGTTGAGATGTACAAAGAAAAAAGCATCATTCCTGATGATATCCCTCCATCAAACAGTTCAGCTCATGAAAGAGTTTGTTGTACTCTGCATTTAACATAAAACAGTGCTGGGTAAAGTTTTACTGAGAGACAGGAATTTTTGCATGGTACACAGTGTGTGTGGGAGTGCTGCACTGATTCCAGCATTCTGATCAATTAAAGCAGATGTTCTGGCTCTTCTGTGCTGAAATATTTCTATAGTGTCTTCATCTTATGAGTTGCCAGGATGTGAGTGTTATTTGTTTATTATCATACAAAGTTTACACAGTTAGTCTGAAAAGTGTGCGAACTAAGATGAGAGGATGGAGAATCAAGTTTACTGTCTCTGGAAATGATTTGAAGACTATAAAGCAGTTAAATAAGGAATGTTCTAAGAAATTCTGTCAAAATAAATTTGATAAACT